GTGTCTCATTTCATTCTGTTACATCCAGGTTTGCCATCACCATGTATGATAAGAGCACTTTTGGCTGCATTAATGTGGATTAATTTCTGGGATCTCTATTCAGCATCAGTTTTTATGCCAATATCATGTCTTTTAGTTACTCCAACTTTGTAGTATGCCTTGAAATCAGATACTGTGATACATCCAGATGGATTTTTTTTTTTCTTGCTAAGCATCAGTTTGGTTATCCTGGTTATTTTGTGATTCCATATAGATTTTAGGGTTTTTTTTCTAATTCTGAAAACAATGGTATTTTTTTTAAGATATATGTTATTTATTTGAAAGAGTTACAGAAAGAGGTAGAGACAGAGAGGTCTTCCATCTGCTGGTTCACTCCCCAGATGGCCACAACAGCTGGAGCTGTGCCAGTCCGAAGCCAGGAGCTGCTTCTGGGTCTCCCACATGGGTGCAGGGGCCCAAGTACTTGAGTCATCTTCTACTGCTTTCTCAGGCCATAGCAGAGATGGATTGGAAGAGGAGCAGCCGGGACTAGAACTGGTGGCCATATGGGATGCCGGCACTTCAGGCCAGGGCTTTAACCCGCTGCACCAGAGCACTGTCCCCAGTACTGGTATTTTGATGGGGGTTGTATTGAATCTGTAGATTGGTTTTGACAGTGTAGACATTTTAATGATCCAAGTAGAAGTAGAAAGACTACTGTTTCTTAAGTGTATGTACAAACTCTATAACAATAATCAGATCTCCAGTTGTTGTATATGGGTGAAACCATTAATTTTTTGTATTCTATGTATTAACTGTCACAGATCGGAGAAAACATACAAATTTGCCTTTTGGTGACTGGCTTATTTCACTAGTAATGGTTGCCAGTTGTATCCATTTTGTTGCATAAAACAAGGTTTCATTCTTTTTTATGGCTGAGCAGCATTCTATTACATATATTATGTATAACATCTCATGTATACATATACATACATACATATATCTCACATTTTATTTTCTTTGTGCAATCATCAAATGATGGGAATCTGGATTGCTTCCATATGTTAGCTATTGTGAGTTGAGCTGCTACAACCGCAGGGGTACAGAAATTTTTTATGTGCAAATTTCTTATCCTTTGTGTAACTTCCCATTAATGGAATTACTGGGCATTGTGGTTGTTCGGTTTTAAAAGTTGTGAGGAAGGTATGAACCCAGATTGCTCTTTTAGATAGGGATCTCACGTTCCTATACATTTCTCCCACTGAATAAAAGCTTAAAAATTAAAAAAAAAATTGTGAGGAATCACTGTACTGTATTTCATAATGGTTGAGATAGATAACATTCCATCCACCAGTGTGTTGGGATATGTTTTTCTCCACATCCTCGCCAGCATTTGTTATGTTTTGGTTGTGGGATGATGGCCACTTTGCCTGAGATGAGGTGAAACCACACAGTGGCTTTTATTTCCGTTTTCCTGATAGTTGGTGAGCCTAAGCATCCTTCCTGTATCTATTGGCTGTTTGTGCTTCATCCTTCAAAAAATGCCTGCTAATCCCTTAGCCTGTTTCTTAACTGGAATGCTTTGTTTTTTGTTGAGTTCCTGAGCTCATTACATATTCTAGAATTCATCCTCTATCACAGGTATAGTGATATTTTCTCTGATTGTGCCGGTTGCTTCTTCACTTTGTTGAGTGAGTCATTGCTATGCTTCATAAAGCTCCTTAGTTTGATGTAACCCCATTTGTCTATATTTGATTTTTATTTCCAGTGCTTCTGGAGTCTTATCTAAGAAGTCCTGTATGCCAATGCCTTGCCATATATCTCCTATGTTTTCTGCTAGTGATTTGCTGGTTCCAGGTGTTAGGTTTAGATCATGGATCCATTGTGGTTGGTTTTGTATAGGATGTAAGGTATGGGTCTTGCTTCACACTTCCACATGCAGAGATCCAATTTTACCAACATCAGTTGTTGAAGAGCCTGTCCTTTTCCAGGGAGTGATTTTATCTCATTTGCCAAAGATTAGTTGGCTGTGGATGCGTGGATTAATTTGTGGGGTTCTGATGTGTTATATTCATCCACATGCCTATTGTTATGGCAGTAATGGGGTGTTTTGCTTGTAACCGCTCTGTAATATGTCTTGAAATCTGGTATTGTAATGCCTTAAGCTTTATTTTTACTTTTTAAGAATGCTTAGATTGCTTTAGCTGTTTTGGGGTCTCATGTTTCCATAATAACTTTGCTATATCCATGGGGTTTCATATGTTGTGTTTTGATTCTCGTAAATTTCAAGGAAGTTTTTCACTTCATTATTCATTTCTTCAGTGACCCATTGATATTTCAGAAGCATGTGTAATTTTCATGTATTTACAAATGCCATGTTCATGTTGCTGACTTCTACTTTTATTCCTTTGTGGTCTGAGAACATACATGGTATGATTTCATTTATTTGAGAGGCAGAGTTATAGACAGGGAGAGGGCAAAACAGAAAAGTCTTCCATCCACTGGTTCACTCCCCAAATGGCACAATAGCTGGAGCTGGGCTGATCCAAAGCCAGGAGCCAGGAGAGTCTTTTGAGTCTCCCACGTGGGTGCAGGGGCCCAAGGACTTGGGCCATCCTCCACTGCTTTCCCAGGCCACAGCAGAGAGCTGTATCAGAAGAGGAGTGGCTAGGACTCAAACCGGTGCCCATATGGGATGTCTGCACCACAGGCAGAGACTTAGCAACTGTGCCACAGTGACCCCCCTATGGTATGATTTCAGTCTTCTAGAATTTACTGAGACTTGATTTCCATCCTAGAAAACGTTCTTCACTGATGACAAGAATGAGTATTCAGCAGCTGTTGAGTGAAATGTCCTCCAAATGTCTGTTCAGTCCATTTGCTCAACACTGTGTTTCACTGGATCTTAGCCAAAGACCAAGAAGATATCAGTACCATGCTGTAACTCCAATCTATCTTTTTTAAAAAAGATTTATTATTTGAAAGACAGAGTTATAGAGGTGTGTGTGTGGGGGGGGGGGTCTTCCATCCACTGGTTCACTCCCCAGATGGCCACAATGGCTGGAGCTGGATAGATCTGAAGCCAGGATGCCAGTAGCTTCTCTGGATCTCCCACGTGGGTGCAGGGGCCCAAGGACTTGGGCCATCTTCTACTGCTTTCCCAGGCCATAGCAGGGAGCTGGATTGGAACTGGAGCAACCAGGGCTCGAACTGGTGCCCTTATGGGATGCTGGCACTTCAGGAAGCAGCTTTCCCACTATTCCACAGCACCAGTCCCTGATGTGTCTTTATTGATTTTTTCACTGGGTGATTTGTTACTTTTCTCTTAGAATCTTTAGACTTCTCTCCTTGTCCCTGTATTTTGAGAATGTGACTGTAATGTGCCTTGGATAAAATCGTCTCTGGGTTGGGGTCCTTTGAACTTCTTGTATCTGGATGTTTGTCTCTTTTAAGAAACATGGCACTTTTTTGTTCTTTTCATATCCTAGGTAGCTGAAGTCGGAAGTCAGCATGGCTATACACTATCTGGCCATCTTGGATATCCTCCTATGTGGGGATAATTAAAATATCTATCACTTTATCGTTTCTTGGTGGTGATGTAGCCAGGCAGAAAACCCATGGGATCTTGCCCAGTGCCTTTGCCAATGGAAACACACCTGCTCGGATCCATGCTGCTTGGTTCTAATCAGAAGCAGGGCAGCTGGAGCAGCAGTTCTTCCCATAAAATCCTAGATGAATTCTGATTTTATTTTGCCAAAAAAGGAAGAATAGATTAAAAAAAGAGAAATAAAAGACCATGAAGAAGACTGCAAGGAGACTGAATGAGAGGCAGCAGCTGGAGCGTGCATCCCTCACTCCGAGTCTCAGACTCACCTTGAGCACCTCATGTGGTAGGGAAGGGCTGGGCCTGCTGCACCCTCCCTGTCCACCTCTGCCCATGGAGAAGTCCTGCTTCCGTTCTTCCACCCTCGTCACTGATGCTTCATTTCTAGCATTCTTCAGCCATACTCAGTGTGGCTAACTCCAGTTGGCTTAGCCAGGCCCCCGTGGGAATGTGTTTGGTTGTTCTTATTTGGGGTTACTATGGATACGGCTGCTAGGAATATTCCTGTGCATGTGGTCTGTGCACCTGCCCTCAGGAGTCAGTCACGCATTGGTCACATGGTGACCCTGCTCAGAGACCAGTAACGTTGTGCCAAGCAGCAGTTCCTGCTGTCCCTCTGATCCCCTTCGCTCTGATGGCTTCCATTCCCACTCACTGCACAGGACCCCTTCCCTCCCATTTCCCCTCCCCTCACTCTGCTCCCTGGCTCCAAATCCATGAGCCCTTCCTCATGGCCTCTTGGACCCAGTGAGTGACCTGGGTCAATGTCTAATACTGGCCCCTCCTAACTCTGCACCTGTGTGGGCCCTGTCGGGGAGGATGTTCATGATCAGTGTCAGGCCCCTGGAGCATCTCCTGCTGTGCTGGTGGAAGGTGGGTGGTCTTGTCACCTGTGTCACACCCAGGGCCTGATGCTCAGGCCTCTGCAGAGCCAGGCCCCTCCTTGTGCTGTATGGGGCAGCCTGGGCTGAGCTGCCCTTTGTGAGCCAGTCCCCCTCAGGAGGGATGAGCAGGGGTTGCTTTGTTCTCCAGCACAGTGAGTTACAGAGCTTTACCCTAAATCAAGAACAGAGGCCTCAGCGTGCCCTGACGTGCACGGAGCTCTTGCCGTCCAATGCATGTTTGAACAGGGTGGTTGTGAGTACCCTGATTGGAGGAAGCCATTCAGAAATGCTCATGGATTCAGAGTGAGAGGGTCTGTCACTCAGGCAGTGATAGGTCAGGGAGTCGATCTCGTGCGTTCTGTGCAGTGAGGCTTCCCAAAGGGTGACTGTTCCACTGCTGCTTTTCCCATCCATTTGAACAATGCCAAACTCACCTGCCTACTCAACCTTGGGAGGGAGGGTGGGGTGTGTTTGTGTATTCAAAATTTGTTTGGGTAGCAGAGGGACAGACACAGAGGGCATCCATCCCTTCATCCTGTCCTCAGATGTCTGTGTGGACACAGTTTTCTCTGTTCATGTGTAGGAGGGCCCAGTGATAGCCCCCAGTATGAGTTGAACTGCTGACATAGTGCCATGCTGTGACTTGGACACCCTCTTCAAGGCTGTGGCCTCAATTCTTAGAATGGTGAGTGTGGGAATATCTGAGACCGTGTTTAATTTTGGAAAACGGCCAGACTGTTCACCAGAGTAGTGAGCTCTCATGCATCCACCAGCAATGAGTGAGAAATCCTGTTCTACATCCTTCACAGCAGTTGTGATGTTTAAAAAAGAAAGAGTTCATCCATCTTAAGAGATGTGTATTGTAAAACAGTGACCATTTTGACACCATCAGGAGTTTCCTCCTCAGGCCTGGGCAGGGAGGCATTCATCGCTCCTGTCTGCGGGGGCTCGGAAACGATGAGGCGAAGGCAAGGAAAAGGTGAGGGAACGGGCAGAAGGCAGGAGACAGAGCCGCTCCGCCCTGCTGTGCTCTCCCCTCCCCACGTGACAGCGCAGGGGTCACAGCACGCTGCTGTGTGTGGCCTAGGTCTGTCTGCTGGAATTCCATGCACAGAGGAATGGGAATGAGAAGCATGGAGCCGCCTTCTTGGGGGTCCCAGAAAGTGAGGGTGACCCCGAGGCAGGGCAGGATCCATAGTGCCGGCTCTCAGTGGCATTGTAGAGGCTTGTGCTTCTTATGGCGTTAAATATGGGAAAATTCATTGTCATAACTCTACACACCATTCAAAGTGTGAACATAGATCTGTGCAAAGAAGACTGTGGGCAGAATAGTCTACTTGAGCCAGAGGCTCACGCATGGTGTGCAAAGCCAACAGGAACTTGAGCACCAGCCCTGTGCAGTGCTGTCCGTGTGCATCTCTGATCTTAAGCCGGGAAAGAACCTGCCTGCCAGGGCCCAGCCATCTCTGCCCCATTTCCTGGGTGGCTCCTTGGAGGTCCCTGGGGACTCCAACAATGGCTGCGGGATTTTGTGATCATCTGAGGTGGTTTTATTTTATTTTTTAAGAATTATTTATTTTTATTTGAAAGTCAGTTACACAGAGAGAGGAGAAGCAGAGAGCAAGAGGTCTTCCAACCAAAGGTTCACTCCACAACTAGCTGCAATGGCTGGAGATGGACGTGGTGTCTAAAGCAGGCTTTGTGCTCTCCCTACCTCTCGGCTGCCAACCCTGTGGCTTGGTCTCGCAGCTCCCATTTGGGATTGTCGAGAGGTGAACTTCATCTCGTCCATCCACCAAGCGCATGGTTCTTATGAAGGCATAGCTGGAGGCAGCCAGAGCAGGGACGGTGGCTGTTACTAAAGAGGAACAGGGCGCATCAACACTGATCCAGAGTACATTCATCCAGCCAGGGCAGATGAGGAAAAGAACTCGGGGAATTGTGGAAAGTAGCCCCAGGGCCTCTGAAATGCCGTTCTCAAGCTCCCAGCTTGGAGAGCAGACTCTTAAATGGCAAAGCACAGCGGGGTTCACCTCATGCTTGGTTTGCTGGAGGTTCCTGGAGGTGGTTAGGATTAAGAGACCTGAGGCAAGCCCCAGGCAGTGACGATGGGAAACTATCTTCAGTTCTTAAGGTTAAAAACTGATGGGCAGGCAATTCTCTCCAGTGTGATAGAGAAGGTGGCACTGCGAGAACATATGGAGGGATGTTTGGGGCTTGGGGGGAGGTTCTTTCTCACCTCCAGGGATTCAGATCTGTGTAATGGATGCTCACTGCCATGGACTGCTGCAGATTCAGCTGCTGCCTCCCTGTGGGTTGCAGACCTGTGGTGGTACCCTTACTGTTAGCACAGTCAGGGTGAGCCTTTGGCACAGCAGTTAAGCCACTGCTCGGGACGCATGTATCCCTTGGCAGAGTCCTGGGCTCCAGTCCTGGCTGTGTTCTGGTTGCTCATTTGCTGCTAACACGCATCCTGCTAGGCAGTAGTTGAGGGCGCACATAAGAGTCCCTGCCACCCATATGATGTTCCAAGCTCCTGGCTACAGCCTGGCCTCACCCTGGCTGCTTTTGGGATTTTGGGTATGAGCCAGCAGAAGAAAGCTCTCTCTCTCCATCCCTCAAACCTCCCTCATTTGCCTTTTCAATAATTTTGTCTTTCAGGGTAATGCAGTGGAGCCGGGTGCTGATTGTAGTCACAGAAGATGGTTATGTGTGGGTGCTGAGCTGCATATCAAAGAACCCCATCACTTCACTTACGCTTTGAAGCAAGTTAGTAGCTCTTATTTCTTAACATGTAGTGTTGTCAAGGTAGCTGGAGGGTTTCATCTCCAAGCCTATCAGATGCAGAAGCTCTTCAATGAAACCTACTCACTTTTTAGTCAGAGGATAAGCCTGGGAGCCACCTGCAGCTCCACCCACCTGCATGGCCCAGTCAGGTCGGTGACTCTGCAGAGGCCCCTGGAGTGGCCATTTTGATCATTGCCATCTGCAGGATACACACAACATGCTCCTTTCTTGGGCACACTGTCTGGGCAGGTTCTTGTGAAGTGACACAAAGAACCTTTCCCCCCAACACAGGATCTCAGGTGGAAGCCAGCAAAGGTGTTTGCTGCTGTGCACTCAATACAGACCTGGAAAGATACTTTGTCCCAGTCAACGACATTTACTTTTAGTTGCCTTGGTGCCAGAGAGATTTCGGCTGGCTGATAACTCATACTCATCACTTCAGAAACTGCAAAAGCTTCAAGTGGCTTTGCTGCACTAATCAGTTTTCTCCTAGCAATGTAAGTGATTATATTTTTTTCCATAGAAACCAGAGACACAAGAAGGCTGGGGACGAGAGGTACCTTACATGACACATTCACTATGGCTGCATGGCGCATTCCGTGCACACCATCTCCATCACTCTCCACAAGAAACGCAGGCCAAAGGCAGAAGGATGAGATACTTTGGCCTTGGCCACAAGGCTTGATAAAAAAGTGGCAGAGTAGGTACAATGAATCCCAGGTCTCTCAAAGCCTAGGATAACCCCGTTCCTTCTTGCTAATCTCCAGAAAGCTGGAACTGGACTGAAAAGGATTCCCCAAAACAGCCCCATGAAAGGAAACCTGGCCAGTGGCCACCGTGTAGGAGCTTTCAACCAGGTGCCTTGGGGTCTCCCACTATTCCTAGTGCCATCTAGGTGCCCTGAGACCTGAAATGCCCAGCTCTGCCGTTGGTGGTCAGGGGGACCTCACCTCCTTCCTAGCTCCAGCGCTGCCTATGGTGTCCACACAGTGGGCGGCTTTCAGGGTCAACAGGCAGATCTCCTGGATGGCAGTGTGGCTTTCAACAATCCGGTGAGCCACCACTTCCTGCCGGGGAGCAGAAGGTGGCACGAGAGGGAGGAGGTGAGCTGGTGTTGGAGGTCTGCGGGAAACAACACAGCCTCGAGGTCAGGTACAAACACTGTCGAGGTCAGGTCTTGCTCTATGCATTTTTAAATGGAGGAGCAAGTTTGCTTGATATGCACTAGCCCAGCCATGTACCTCTGGAATGCCCCAGAGGTGGAAGATTTCAGAAAGAAATTCTATTTTGCAAAATGCATTCTTTTGGGTATTTTAATGTTTAAAGTCAAGATGGTGGAATGAGTCACCTTCTGATTGCCAAACTACTCTTCTCCAGCCCTACTGAATGTGGATCACAAGCTCTCACTGAAACATGGTTAAAGGGGTGGAGGTGGAACTGCTTGTAGACAAACTAGATCATTCTCAGAAGTCCAGGGTTGGCACTGCCCAGCAGCCTCTGGTTGCTGTTCTCAACTTTTTCTTGGGATTTTTAGAGACATATATGTTGGTGTAACCACACTCAGGAGAACAGTTCCATCTCCACACAAAACTTACCGGTACTGCTCTCTTGTAGGCACACGCTCCCCCAGCCCCTACACCCTTGTCAACCACTGGCAGGTTGTCCATTATGATACTTTTGACTTTTTCTAGAATGTCCTAGAAATGGGATCATACAGCATCTACTCTTTGGAGACTGGCTTCTTTCACTCAGCATAGGGCCTTGAGTTTTATCCAAATTTTGCTGGGAATTGACTGTAGATTCCTTTTACTGCCGACTCTAGTCCCTCATAGGGCTGCACCCCAGTATCCAAGCAGCTGTCAAACAGCTTTCCAAGGTGGCTTATTTACCATCTGATTATTTTCTTTGGTGCTGTGTCTTTTCATGCTTTTTGCTGATTTTCCTGCTCTTTGTTAATGCCCCTAGGAAGGCAGCAGGAGACCCAAATGGAGTTCCAGGCTCCTAGGTTCAGCATGGCCCAGACCCAGCTATTGTGGCCATTTGGGAATTGAACCAGCAAATGAAGATCTCTGTCTCTCCCTCTCTGTAACTCTGCCTTTCAAATAAGTATGTATATAAATAAATAACATTTTCAAATAAAGATTGTTATTTCTCCAACTTCCTTCCTTCTAGCCTTAGAGGGGACAAAGGGAAGAATTAATAAAATGGCTGACTGGACAACTGAAAGTGCCCAATCTGAACTCAGAGGAAACGAAATGAGCGATGTGTCCAACCCTGTTCCCCAACAGGAGCTGTATGTAGGTCTCTCCAGTCACCTTTCTTACCACATCCTCAGTGCCCTTCAACACCTGAACCCTTGCCCTGGCCCTAGACTACAGGGTACAGGGGTGCCCACAATGTAGTCCCAGGTGTGGTGTCAAAGCAGGATGTAGCTTTTCTTAATACTATTGCAAGTCAGTTATATAAAAGAACATATATGTTGATTGAGCTTATAACATTTGGCTAAAATAATAGCACTAACTATTGCTAACATTGAGTACAGAATAATACACAAGGAAGCAAATACAGCCTCTAACTGAGGCAGAAAGGCCCTGCAGACTTTTCTAAGATGGTCACAGATGCACTTTCACACGGGTGATAATGTACAGAAATAAACAATTCTGTCACCAGAGATTTGATCTACACTGACATTTCAACAGTAAATGCTAAGAAATAATTACTTTTCTTGTTTTCTTAAAAATTAGAAGTAGGGGGACAGCGCTATGGTGTAGTGAGCTAAGCCTCTGTCTGCAGCGCCAGCATCCTTTATGGCACCAGTTTGTATCCTGGCTGCAACTCTTCTGATCCAGCTCTCTGCTGTGGCCTGGGAAAGCAGTAGAAGATGGCCCAGGTGCCTAGGCCCCTGTACCCACGTAGGAGACTGGGAGGAAGCTCCTGGCTTTGGATCAGCTCTGACCATTGCAGCCATTTGGGGAATGAAACAGCAGATGGAAGCCCTTTCTCTCAGTCTCTCCCTCTCTCTGCCTGTAACTCTGCCTCTCAAATAAATAAAAGCTTTATTAACATTAGAAGAAATTTTTGGGGGGATGAATTAAGTAACCCCATTTCTCTATAAATTTTTTCCAAAGAAGTCTAAAATAATACCTTCTTTTCCCTCTGAATACACATTTCCATTTTTTAAAATGGTGTATTTATTGGATCTGGCACTTTGACATAGTGGGTTGAGCCACCATCTGCAGTGCTGGCATCCCAAATGAGCATTGATTCGAGTCCTGGAGGCTCCATTTACAATCCAGCTTCATGGTAATTTGCCTAGGAAAGCAGCAGAAGCTGGTCCGAGTGTTTGGGCCCCTTGCTCCCACTTGGGGACCCAGATGAAGCTCCTGCATCCTGGCTTTGGCTTAGTCAAGCCCTGTTTTTTTGGTCATTTGGGAAGTGAACCAGCAGATGGAAGAATCTCAATCTCTCTCTCTCTCTTTCTCCCTGTAATTCTTTCAAATAAATTAAATACTTTGTTGTTTTTTAAAGATGTATTTTATATTCAAAAGATAGATTGGCAGGGAGATAGAGTGAGAAAGAGATCTTCCATCTGCTGGTCTACTCCACAAATGCCCACAACAGCCAGGGCTGGGCCAGGCCCAAGCTAGGAGCCAGGAACTCCATCTGGAAGGATTTGGGCCATCAGCCACTGCCTTTTCAGGCCTATTAGCAGGAAGCTGGATCAGAAGTGGAATAGTTGGGACTCAAACCAGCACCCCAATATGCGGCACTACTCACGTGGAACTAAATTTATGGTGCCTTGTAAACAAGCTCAAGAGTGTAAAATTTCTAGATGAAGATTCAAAGAATCATCACAGCCCTCTAAATGCTGGTCCTATGTCTTCGGTGACAAGGGACCCACTTCTTCCCAAAGCAGTCCATTCCGTCTTAAAAGAGCTGTTGAGCTGGCACCACGGCTCACTAGGCTAATCCTCCGCCTGTGGCACTAGCACCCCGGTTCTAGTCCCGGTTGGGGCACCAGGTTCTGTCCCGATTGCTCCTCTTCCAGTCCAGCTCTCTGCTGTGGCCCGGGAGTGCAGTGGAGGATGGCCCAAGTGCTTGGGCCCTGCACCCACATGGGAGACCAGGAGGAGGCACCTGGCTTCAGATCGGTGCAGTGCGCTGGCCTCAGCGCGCCAGCCGTAGCGGCCATTTTAGGGGTGAACCAACAGAAAAGGAAGACCTTTCTCTCTGTCTCTAACTCTGCCTGTCCAAAAAAAAAAAAAATTTTGTAGGAATATTCCTCTGAGTTTTGAACTCTTCTCCTGTGTCTTTACATGGCTGTGTCCTAACTTCTTCCAGAAAACCAAAGGACATGACAAGTCCCCCTACCCATGACAGCCTCTTCTTGCTGCTCTTCATGCTCATGGGGAGCTCAAATGCTGCCAGTTGTACAGAACAGAAAGTTGATGGAACTGTGTGTGCTTTGTGTGCTGAGTACTTCGGCAGCTACGTAATCTTTCACAAAGATAAAGACCTCCCCTCAGACCACATTTAAATGCAGCCATTAAGTATAGAATAAAATCACCCTATCGCTTCTTGGCCTTCTGGCTAAGATCAGATGTAGAATAAAATCACCTTATTCACATAGAGGAAACTAGTTCCCCAAATAATGTTTTGTTTTTTTTTTTAATTAACTTTCCCTTTATTTGACAAGCACAGAGAGAAAGCACACTTCCATTGCTTGTCCACTCTCTGAATGTCCACAACAGCCAGGGCTGGGCCAGGCAGAAGGCACAGGGGTCTAAATCTTAATCTGGGTCTCCTACTTGAATGACAGGAGCCATCCCCTGCTGCCTGTGTTAGCAAAAACTGGACCAGAGTGGAATAGCAGGACTCAAACCAGGTCCTCCTATATGGGATAATGGTGTCCCAAGCAAATGGCAGCTTATTTGCTGTGACAAATGCCCAGCCCAGTAACATTTTGTAACTGGACTAGGATAGATACAAGTAAGTGATCACCCTTACGTGTTTGTAGAGTTTGTTCTTGAAGGCTCTGCTTTGTGTTGCCATTCACACACGATCTGCAGAGCACGTGCCACCACACCTGCTGTTCTCCTACAGTGGTGGATTCTGCCAGGTCCCAGGCAATCTTGGGAAGTTTCAAATTCCCTGCCTTCACCTGGGAGAAAGAAAGGAGAATGGGAACGTGGCCCAGGGCATTCCTTATTTACAGAAATCCTGGGGAAACGATGCACTGTCTTCAATAAGAATGGCATCGTCAGTCCCAAAGGGACTAATACCATATTTTCTCCCTGATCTGTGACAACTAACAAAGCACATAAAAGGAAACCTGTAGAAGTAAAACTGACATGACAAGAAGCAAGGACTTCAGCAGCCCTTGTCTTAAGTGTCGAGGAAGAGTTTAGTATTTTTTTTTTATGATTTTCTTTTTCAACATAATACCATTGGTTGAACTATTTACTTAGCACAGAATTATTCATACGTGTGTAAATCCAATTGAAAATAGATCCTGGGAAAAAATAAAAGTGGAAACAACAGAGGGGAGAGATGCACAGTTTGGCACATGTTCCCACGGACTTACCCCTAAGGGTAAAGTTAAAACTTGCATTGGACTCCCAATCCCATTAAGCTGAGTGAAACTAATGCTATCTTACATGCTAAAGTGATCATTTTAAGTGTGTAACTGCTCATATAGATAGGAATAACTGCCCAAGTGACCACATAAATAAGACCAAGTGTCTGGTAATAACAATAGATAGAAATAAAAAGAGTATTCCAACATGGGAAGCTGGCCATACAGCAGACTCATAGAATGACAAATGCCCTAAACAGCACTCTGACCTCCGAATCAGCCCTTAAGGCATTTGGATCTGGCTATAATGCCCAAGAGAGTTTCACAGGCATGGAAAGCCAAGACACTGTGGCAAAAAATGATCTACATGAAGGATCTCTGTGAGATCCCAGTGGAAAAAGCGACCACCCGAGAAGGTGGTACTTTTCTCTGAAGGGAGGAGAGAACTTCCACTTTGGTTATGGCCCTGTACAAATACTGATGGAGTTTGTGGACTCAAAAGGCTTCAATAGCCTTGGCAGCTCATAACAAGAGCCGCCAGTGATCACTGACATAAGTAAGACTGTCAATTGGTAAATCAACAACAGGAGTCACTGTGCACTTACTCCTTATGTAGGGCCTCTGTCCTTAAAGAGTTGTACTGTGAGAATTAATGGTAAATCTTGTCTTCAAACAGTACTTTATGCTTTGTGTGTCAGTGTGGGTTCAAACTGTTGAACTTTACTTAGTGTAGAGTTGGTCTTCTGTATATAAAGACCATTAAATATGAATCTTAATGAAGAATGGGATGGGGAGGGAGTGGTGTGGGAGGGTAGGTATGGGGGTAAGAACTGCTATAATCCAGAAGTTGTACTTACTAAATTTTTATTTATTAAATAAAAGCTTTCTAAAAAAAAAAAAAGAATGGCATTGCAGTGAGGGGAAAGGGAAAATCACTGCCACTATAAGGCTCACTGTGCACTGCTAGGAATTCTGACATGTGCATTTTTAAAATCATAAAAAATTTCAGACTGTAGAAATGGCTCTGCAATACTTACTGTGCAGCAGCTACTTTATTAGAGTGGCAGCAGTTGTGAAGGTGGCTAAGACACAGTCCCTGCATGAGATTAGCATCCAGAAGAGGGGGATAGGATCAGGGCTGTGGAGAGGGACAAAGAAAGGCAGAGGAGAGGGCATCTCTGTCCCAGGTCCTACCCTGAGGGCTGCAGGGTCAGGGCTCACTGGGTGCGTGTGGAGAGACATTTCTGAAAGGGGGCAGAGATGTTATTTGAACGTTGGATCAGATTTCAGTGAGCAGAAGGATGGAGTGATTCCAGGTCCATGCTATTCAAAGTTATTTATGTTTCTGACAGGCAGACGAGGAAAAGACTTCATTCCAGGTGCACTGAGGTTGTCTTAACACAAGCAGAGGACCACAGATCATGTTTTAGGAAAAACATCTCGCTTTGAGTTGAATATTCTCATTTAGCCATGTTTTCAGTCAATGTGATAATTATTTAAGTGTTTGAAGTGGTCTTATTATCATT